TGAGAAACGGAATTCAAAGGAAGGAAAAGCTTAGCTATCAGTTTTTAACTGTGGTGGATAGAAGAGATGTGAGTTTAGAGAAAGTGGAAACAGCAAATGTAGTGCTCTGAAAAAGTGTAGTGGTAAAAGGAAGGAGGGGGGACACCAATGAAGGTGGAGCTGGAGGCAGTTTTGAGGGAAGTTTTTATTTAATTTTTTAAGGGTGGATGAGACTGCATTTGTAGGTGAAGAGTAAAACTCTAGTAAAGAAGGATGCAGTGAATATAAAAGGGAAATGTATATTCACCTAAATCTTTGCCAAACAAGATTTCAATGTAATTTTATCTGTTCTTCTGTAATCTAGGGTTGTATTTGTCTTTCAGAATGTTTCCAAACATCATTTATTTAAACACTCTAATTGGAGAAGGAAATCTATTACTTGGTTAGTTTATTTCTGGCAAATCAGCCCTCAGATACTACCGAGAGTCTCAGGGAAAGTCATTCACCAACCATAAAAATCGCAAAATAATAGTGGCTTAAGCTTAAGCAAAGTAGAAGTCTGTTTCTGATCTATAGGGCAGTTTCAATTAGGGAAGCTGAAAAATAGAATTTTTATTTTGCAGGAGCATATGCTTGGCTAAAAATTGATGGCTCTAAGACTAAGGAGGAAGGGAGCAAGATAATTGAGAGAATGGTATCAGTTTCTACACAGTAGAGACAATCTCTTAAATAAAATTCATCTTTTGTGTGAAAGGCAGTATTTGCATAGTTTAAGAAGTCAAAATGCATGTGTTTGTGCCTAGGCTCTCTACTTACTAGCTCTGTGACCCTGAGCAAATTCCTTTTTCTCTTTGTGCCTTAGTGTTTTCCTAATAAGATGGAGAACAGTGTTAAATATAAGGTGCCTCATAAATTGGTATGAGGATTAAATAAGATAATCTAAGTAGTTGAATAAGTCAGTGCCTGGTATATCTAACCCAACAACAATTATTAGTTTTGTCATTTGCCTTTGATTTTCAAGGATCAAGGGTGTGTGGAAGGAAAAAACAGAAACAAAACAAAATGAGACAACAACAACTAAAAAAAACCCCCAAACCTAATATTACTTATGGGATATCAAAAAGTGATTTAACTATTACACATAGGATATAATTGAAAAAGTAATTTCAAATCTCATGAGAACCTGTAGATTTAAGATTAGATTTTTTTTTTGGAAGCCTTGGATGGTACCCAGAGTTAGCCAGACTGCAAAGTTTGAGGGCACAGTCCTCCACAAGACCACCCTTACTTCGGATACCACCTGAAATTTCAGGGGACTCCCAAAGCCACCCTCAGGTTTGATAATTTGCTAGGACTCACAAAACTCACTGAAAGTTATCACACTCATGAAAGGATTATAGATTACAGAGAAAGGATGGAGTTTAAAATCAGCCAAGGGAAAGAAGCACATAGGATAGATTCCAGGAAGATTCCAAATGTGGAGCTTTTGGTGTCCTCTTCTTTTAAAGTCAGGACATTACTCTCCAGCATCAATGTGTGTCAGTATGTGTTGCCATCCACCTAAGCTCACATGAGCTTTGGCGTCCAGAGTTTTCAAGGCATGATTAATTGATTTCCCACGTAGTTAAACTCAGTCTCCATGTTGGCTCATACTTTGTGACCCAAAACCCTTACCCTAAATTGTATTGTTGGAATTTTTTAGCATGGCCAGCCCCCACCCTAGGACTATTGGATGTGGCCAACCCCATCCTAAAATCTGGTGTGGCCAGCACCCACCATAAACAAGGACACTTCTATGAAGTTTGACAGATTACCTCCCAGAAGCTGAGGACAAGGCCAGACTTCTCTTTGGGCAAGGCCAAATTCTTTACTACATAGAAAGATATAAGGCACTGATGAAAAGCAAGAGACATTTGCAAATGGAAGTACAACATGATTATCTGTTGAAGATATCAAAGTTAAAAAAAAATCTTAAAAACACATAAGTAAAACAAAGATCATTCAGGTGAAAATAAACATCCAGAACATTTGATCCAGCGGGTGTAATTTAAAATCTAGAAATTTGGGCACTAAAGCAAAATTTGAGGAGCTCCTTGAAAAGAGATCAAAATGAAAATAAAAAATTGAGATATATAGGGGAAAAAATGAGAAAGAAAACTCATAGTGCTACTAAATGATTATTGTGGAAAGATGTTCTTAAGGAAGAAAGGAAAAGCAGGAATAAAGTGCATTCTTTGGTAAGTTGTGGGGATTACTGCATTCACTTGTATTTTGAAACAGAGATTGGAGGATTTGATATAATTAATGGTTTATGTTTGTATAGAAAATTACAGTTTTGTTAAATACTTGTACTTACCTTGGATAAGTGTAGCCAAGTGTATTAGAAGAGTACTATTTGTTTTCCTATTTTTATTGAAGAAAGTACTTGATGTTAGAGGTTTTTGAGTGATTTGTGCTAGGTTGCTGAGTGAGTTTGGGGCAGAGCTGGAACTGGAATCCTTGTCTCCTAACTTTTTGCTTAAGTACTTTTACTTCAAGTACTTTTTTCCCAACTACAAAGTGATTCTTCTTGGATCTGTTCTCTAGGCCTAGGCACAATGTTTTCTGTTGGTAAGGAGGGGGAGGGGGATTGGAAGGCGATTGGGTGGTACCTGCCTGTATTTACCTTGGTTATCTTATCTAAGACTTTATTCAGCACCTGTCTGCTGCTGATGCCCTCATCTGCCTGAGTCTCCTGAACAGATCAGCCCAGGATTACCCTTGGATGCACACTGGGGCCAACCTTGGCTCCTCTGTGCCATACTTTTTTTATATCCAGTCTGTCTGCAGGCCCTATGGACTTTTTCTTGCTACCCGAATGACCTTGTTTGTCCCTGACTCTCTGGCTCTGCTGTGGTTCCTCCTCTTTTCTCTGTTTTCCTCATCAGCCCCTTTTCACAGCAAGGTATCCAATTTTCTCTAAACATTTAACATTTTATTTTAAATACTAGGCTGTGAATTGATTTTTTTCTCTCTTGATATACAGTTCTGTGATTTTCAGCACATGTTCACATTTGTGTAACCACTGAAATAGGATATATAACAATGCTATAATCCAGAAAAACTGTCCTGCATTATTCCCTTATAGTTAACCTCTCCCCTTATCCATAACTTGTGTCGTCCACTAATATAGTCATCATCCCTCTATTTTTGTCTTTTTGAGAATGTCAGGTAAAAGGAATCATATAGAATGTAACTTTTGAGACTGTCTCCTTTCACTGACATGATACCTTTGAAATGCATTCAAGTTGTGTGTACGAATAGTTTCTTTTTATTGCTGAGTAGTATTCCCATAGTGTGGCTATACCACAGTATAAACAGTGGTTTATTTAACCATTTACTTGTTGAAAGACATAAGGGTTGCTTCCAGTTTTTGCCTGTTATGAGTAAAGATGCTATAAACATTTTTGTATAGGATCCCCACCCCCAATTTTTGAAATTGTGGTAAAATATGCATAACATAAAATTTACCGTCTTAACTATTTTTACTTGTATAGTGCAATGGTATTAAATACATTCATATTGTTGTGCAACCGTCACCACTATCCATCTCCAGAACTCTTTTCATCTTGCTAAACTGAAACTCTACACCCATTAAACAGTAACTTCCTATTTTTTCTTTTCCCGCAGCCTCTTGCAACCACCATTCTTTCTGTCTCCATGATTTTGACTACCCTAAGAATCCCCTGTAATTGGAATCATATAGTATTTGTCTTTTTGTAACTGGCTTGTGTATAGGTTTTTGTGTGAACATAAGCCTTAATTTCTCTGGGATAAATGTCCAGGGCAATTGCAGGATTCTGTGATAGTTACATGTTTAGTTTTTAAAGAAACTGCTAAACTTTTCCAAAGTGGCTGTACTGTTTTATAATCTCACCAGCAATGTTGTAAGTCCAGAGTTTGAATTCAATTTCTGGAGAGGTAACTTTGGTGACCCCCTTAGAGTAGTCATCGTTGGGTGATTTGGAAAATAGTAACTACCACTTCTGTATTCATTCATGTGGATTGGGGTGGAGGTGGAGAAAAGATTCAGGGCTGGGTAGAAGCCCAGTAGGTATCTACTGCAGTAGTGGTTTCCAAACCTGTATGCACACCAGAATCATCAGAGGAGCTCTTAATAATACAAATTCATGGGTCTCATACAGACCTGCTAAATTGGAATCTGTATTTTTAACAAGGGCTCAAGAGAATTTTAAGTGGTCATGCTCACATCAGTTGGACCATTGTGTTGTAAGATCGATGGAATTTCCAAAATTTTAGAAGTGTATGATGTATATTTAACAAATAAAAAATTTCCCATCCTCTTATCTTTCCTGCTTCTCTCTCTTTCTTTGACCCTATGTTTATATTTTGTCCCCTCTTCACATCAGTTTATGAAATGCTCTTATTTACTTATTTACTTAAGCTTTTTTCTTTATTTTTAATTGAAGTGTAGTTGATTTACAATGTTGTATTAGTTTCTGGTGTACAGCAAAGTGATTCACTTATACATATATATATTCTTCTTCATACTGTTTTCCATTACGGTTTATTATAGGATATTGAATATAGTTCCCTGTGCTATACTGTAGGACCTTGTTGTTTATTATTTGGTCCCCTCTTGATACTTACTTCTATTTTTAATTTTCTCTCCCTCATCTAGTTTTTCACTGGTCTCTCTTTTCTCTCTCTCTCTCTCTCTCTCTTTTTTTTCCCTCATGTGTCTACTAATAAGTTATTGATTGCTATTTTCTGTTTTCACTTGGCCCTTAAATTGTAACTTTCTAGGTTCCCTTTTTCTCCACTGTGTGAGGTGGTTGCTCTTCAGCATCTAGAGCTCATTTTCTTTCTCATACTAAGATATATTTATCCTCTTCTTCAGGCAGGTAGATCCAAGTCTCTCTCACGGATCATTCTTTTTAATGGCAGGAGCAGAAAACAACTATCAGGGTTTGGTGGAGGAAACTTTAAGTTTTATGTTTATTTTTCTCCTCTTCTTATAGGGAAGAAGAAGAACGTTTGAGAAATAAAATTCGAGCTGATCATGAGAAGGCCCTGGAAGAAGCAAAAGAAAAATTAAAAAAGTCAAGAGAGGAAATCCGAGCAGAAATACAGACAGAGAAAAATAAGGTAGTCCAAGAAATGAAGACAAAAGAGAAAAAGCCACTGCCAGCAGTTCCTATACCAAACCTTATAGGAACACATGGTGGAGACCCAGAAGATAATGACCTAAGAGAGAAAAGGGAAAAAATTAAAGAGGTAATAAGCTGAGATTTGTGATATGGGGTGGTTATGGCTATGGATATGTCTATCTATCTATCTGTCGGTCTGTCTATCTATCTATCTGTCAGGCTGGCCAAAGGTTCCTTTGGTTTTTAAGTAAAATAAAAAGACACATTTTTCATTTTCACCAAGAACTTTATGGGACAGTGTATTCACTGTTTTATTCCACTACCTTCTGCCATTTTTCAGGCAACTTCATAATTCCATCTTCCCAAAGCTTTTTATCTTTTTTGAGCAAAGAACTATTCAGGTGCCTTTTACAGTCTTATGGGGAATTGAAATTTTTTCCATTAAGAGAATTGTGTAAAGACTTAAGTAAATGGAAATTGGAAGGTGCAATGTCTGGTGAATACGGTGGATGAATCAGAACTTCCCAGCCAAGCTGTAACAGCTTTTGCCTGGTCATCAAAGAAGCATGTGGTCTTGGGTTATCCTGATTGAAGACTATGCATTTTCTGTTGACTAATTCCGGATGCTTTTCGTCGAGTGCTGCTTTCAGTTGGTCACATTGGGAGCAGTACTTGTTGGAATTAATCATTTGGTTTTCCAGAGGGAGCTCATAATAGAGGATTCTCTTCCAATCCCACCATATACACAACATCACCTTCTTTGGATGAAGACCGGCCTTTGGTGTGGTTGGTGGTGGTTCATTTTACTTGTCCCGTGATCTCTTCCGTTCCACGTTACTGTACAGTATCCACTTTTCATCGTCCATCACAATTTGTTTTCAAAACAGAACATTTTCATTATGTTTAAGTGGAGAATTACTATGCGGAAATATGGTCAAGAAGTTTTTTTTTGCTTAACTTATGTGGAACCCAGACATCAAAGCGATGAACATAACCAAGCTGGTGCAAATGATTTTCAATGCCTGATTTGGATATTTTGAGTATGTCGGCTGTCTCCTGTGTGGTATAACATTGATTGTTCTCAGTTAATGTCTCGATTTGATTGTCATTAACTTCAACTGGTCTACCTGACCATGGAGCATCATCCAGCGAGAAATCTCCAGGAAACTTCATAAACCACTTTTGACATATTTGATCATCACAGCACCTTCTCCATACACTGCACAAATCTTTTTTTGCCTTTCAGTTGCGTTTTTACTTTTCTTGAAATAATAATGCCCAAAATGTTGCTTTATTTCTTCCATCTTCAATATTAAAATGGCTGCACAAAAATTCACCAATTTTGTTTTGTTTTTTTAATGCACACTGATATGAGATCTGTCACAATACAATCTAATAAAATTGTTTGGAATGAAGTTAAAGACAACTAAGCGCTGCTAGAGCCATCATACAGAAAAAACTGAATGAATCTTTTGGCCACCCAACCCAATATCTATCTGTATTTGTACCATCTGTGGTGTCATATTTTGATCTTGTTTGTTTTGAGGTCAAAATTGTAGTTCAGTTTGCAAGTTGGCAGTAAGAGCTAAAACTCTCTTAATATCGATTATAATTATAGAATACTTAAAAATTTTGATATAATGTTGTTTGGATAGTTACTTTGCTCACCCTGTGTTCAGAGATGTTTTGATGTTCAGTATTTTATAAATAATGTAGAATAGATCCATAACAGTTTAGCGTTTAATAAGAAATTTCTTAAGTGTTTAGTTACTTGGAACTCTGCTAGATATTATGTAAATCTTCTCATAAATATGTTTCTGAAAAGTTAGCATTATGTCTGCCATCTTTCAAGGAACCCGTTGTGATACCACTTAAGTATACTGCAGATTAAGAACACATCCTTCCAAAGAGTCTCAATGGATTGAAGAGTAGGGAAGGATTGATTTCAACATTCTTGAAATTTCTTTTGGTCTCAGAAGTCTGTCAATTTGTTATTCTAGGAGTTATTTGGAGATAAAGAGAGTACCAGAGGGGGAGGAAATCTAGTGAATATTTTAGTAGAACTTTGTTAATTAGAACTCCTGATTCTGGGTGGAGTTTGTAGTTGTACTGCTTATGAAGAAAAAGACTTTGTTAGAGTGTAATAGCATCAACAATATTTCAAATCTACTGTTCATCATAAAATAAGACAGTACGTTTAGTTCAAATAGATATCTATTTGGATATATTCTAGTAATGAATATGGAAGATTTGCAGGTATTTTAAGCGTGGCCTTATGAATTGGTATAAAATATATCCTCTGATTTTACCTCACCTTTGGATTCTATGTTTTATACTCAGGCTGCTTGAGGCACTTTCTTTGGACAGTGTTGAGGACTTTGATACATTTCTTTTCAGATGCCTGACCTTTTTTTTTAGATGTCATTAGAATTTATTGAAATTCTGTCTAATGTACATAATAATTCAGATAGGTAACAGTGTGTGTTGAGAGGACCCAAGACCACCCACAGGCTCAGTGATTCACTGGGAGTACTCACAGAACTTAGCAGAACTGTTGCATTCATGGTTTTGGTGTATTCAGCTGAAAACATATAGATTCAAATCAATAGAAAAGGCACATAGGACGAAGTCCAGTAGAGACCAGGTACAAACTCCTAGTTGTCCTTTCCCAGTGGAATGATTCGGATAGCGCTTAATTCTTCCAGAAATGATTTGTGGCAATGTGCACAATGTATTGCCAACCAGGGAAGTTCACCAGAGCCTTGGTGTCCAGATTTTTTATCAAGAGTTCATTATGTAGGGTTGGCTAATCTTAGTTCTTCAGCCCCTCCAGAGGTCATGCTGATATCAAGGTCCCCACCGTAAATCACGTTTTAGCATAAACTATCTGACATGGCCCAAGACTTCAGGTAAACAAAGATACTCGTAACATGCAGGATAATAAAGGTTTAGAGGTTATTTTTCAGGAGCCTGGTACAGGCCAGGCCTTTTTTGAGGATGTGCAGGGTTTGGACAACCCAGACCTGCTAAGTGAATCCTATAGAGCATACCATATTATCCAGGGTTCTTGTAAATTAACATAAAACATATTATGAATCCCTGTGTAGGCTCCTGTTAAACATTATGGTAACTGACTTAGTAAGCAGAGAAAGTTGGGATCTAAGCCTGCAGGGGAAGAAGCTAACAAGAGGCAAGGTGATGTGAATACCTGCAGAACACCTGAAAGTATCAAGAATTAGAAACACCATTTACCTCTGAAGGCAGGGGTATAAAATAGAGCTGGAAAAGGATTATTTGAAAGTTTTTAAAGGAGCTCTTAACCCTTAGATCCCTAGTTCTCTAGCCTAAGCTGCTGTCCTCCCTTCCCCAAAAGAACACCAAAAGTTTACTTTTGGATGGATGAATTAGGGAAGATCTAGATTTTGGGAATACCAGGTATGGCTGAGGGGAAAGGGCAGAGGTCATTCTTAAAAGTGAAGCGGCCATAAAAAGAAAAAGGAAATTGAGCTATTTGTAGTGAGGTGGATGGACCTAGAGTCTGTCATACAAAGTGAAGTAAGTCAGAAAGAGAAAAACAAATACTGTATGCCAACACATATATAGGGAATCTAACAACAACAACAAAAAATGTGGTCATGAAGAACCTAGAGGCAAGACGGGAGTAAAGACACAGACCTACTAGAGAATGGACTTGAGGATACAGGGAAGGGAAAGGGTAAGCTGGGACAAAGTGAGAGAGTGGCATGGACATATATACACTACCAAATGTAAAATAGACAGCTAGTGGGAAGCATAACACAGGGAGATCAGCTCGGTGCTTTATGACCACCTAGAGGGGTGGGATAGGGAGGGTGGGAGGGAGACGCAAGAGGGAAGAGATATGGGGACATATGTATATGTATAACTGATTCACTTTGTTATAAAGCAGAAACTAACACACCACTGTAAAGCAAGTATACTCCAATAAAGATGTTTAAAAAAAAAAAGTGAAGCAAGTGGTGGGGATGGAGGGAATTAAGTGAAAAATGGATTCTGAATATTGAGACAACTATCCTGCTCAACTCTTCGAATTCTGGCAGCCAGGTCTATTTTCAATAAGCAGGAAAATGAAGGACTTCTGTCTGGAGAGACTTGACTGGCCCAAGAGGAAAAGACCTAGTCTATTCCTCAGTGAAACACCCCTGTGTTTCATCTGTGCTCCCTAAGATGAGGCTCAGTCAATAAGTCTTACCTCTTCACTGACAGCCTCCGATTATCTTGTAAGTGCTTCACTCATATGTGAAGAGCAAACCACGGATCACCAGACATGTAAGGAAAGTTTCTCACATGAGGCAAATGGAAGAAAGGAATTTAGAGGATACAGAAACCATACAGGGCGCAGAATACATATATCAAAAAAAAATCTTTAGGATGCCAAAAAATTAAATTCATGAAATGAGAATAAGTTTACAGAATAAGGAAGAGTTCTTGGAAATTAAAGATATTGATACATTAAAAAATTCAGTAGAAGACTTGGAAGATAAAATTGAGCAAATCTCTTGGAAGGACAAAAGATTAAGAAAACAAGAAAAATGATAAGATCAATCTGGAACATCTAACAAGTGATTAATTAGGAGTTTTGGAAAAAGAACAGGGAAGATAGAGGGGAAGAAGTCAAAGAAACAATTCAAAGGTTCCTACTGAAATTTTAGAAAAAGAGGCATAAAAAACAGATCCTAAAAGCTTACAGAGAAAAAAATAGTTTCACCCAAAAGATTTGGATTGTACATAATAGCACATTAGATTCCTCAACAATAATGTCAGAAATTGGAAGAGAATGGAGCTAAGGCTTAGGAAGAATTATATATTCAGCCAAATTATGAATCAAATCTGAGGGTAAAGATATTTTTAGATGTTTTCTCAGATTGGTACTGGAAAATATGCTTCAGCATAAAAATAGGAAGATAAGCGATTTTGGAAACAGGATCTGTCACTAGAGAGAGAAAGGAAGGTCAGTCTCAGGATTGTAAAAAAGGGGATCAGCAGGATGATTGGCTGTGCTTCAGGTCGAGAGAATGGAAGTCCAGGTTAGAGTTAGGAGGATAGAGAGCCTCAGGAAGGATTTATCAGAGAATAAAATGGAACTGATGGTTTATCTGATGTGTTTAATTATATTGAGACAAAATTTTGAGACGTATAATTTGGAAGTAAATTAATAATTGTCACATTTAAAACTACATCAACAAAAATACCCACCAAACTTCAGACCAGTAGTTAACATCAGGGAAAACAAAAGTTGAACAAAATAATATAGTAATTGTAAGAAAAACATGTTGTTAACTACATTGGAAGGATGTGAGCCAGGGAATGTATGTGGGGAAGTTTATGTGGAGGTGAGCTGATAGTGTATACGAAAGCTAAATTATCTTAACTATAGGGGAATATAGTAAATAGCTAAAACTTTTTTTAAAATCAAGAAATAGCACTAAAAAATATACTTAGAAATACAGTGGTAAATAGAAAAGCAGGTCAAAGAGTTTAAGTAATTGGCTCAGGAAAGTGGAAGGAAAGGAAAGTGGGGAAGATAGGACAGGCTATTAGATTTTTTAAAAATTCAATTTTATTGAGACATAATTTATAAAATGTATTTATTTTAAGAGTATAGCTTGATGAGTTTTGACGATGTATATACTTGTGTAACAACAGTGGCGATCAAGCTGTGAATAGGTCCATAATCTCAAAATGGTTTATTTGTGCCCCTCTTCAGTCTACCCCATTCCTTGGCCCCAGGCAACTGCTGGTCTGCTTTTAATCATTATAGATTAGATTTGTCTTTTCTAGAGTTTCAGTGAAATGGAATCATAAGGTATGTGATATTTTGTTTCTGGGCTTTGGCTCAGCATGTTTTTGAGATTCATCTATGTATATTGCAATAAAGGTAATTTTTTTTTCTTCGTAGTATTCCATTGTATGGCTATACTATGATTTATTTTATTCATTCACCTGTCGAACATTTGTTCAACCTTTGGTCCAGTTTTTGGCTATTATGAATAAACTTGCTATGTACATTTGTGTATAAGTCTTTTTGTGGACATATGTGTTTTTTAGTTTTGACAATTCAGTCTGTGATCTGTTGTGAGTTATTTTTTTTTGTTGTTTATTGTGTGAAGTAAAGGTTGTGCTTCATTTTCTCCCCATAGGGCTTTTTAGTGTTCCAGAATTATTTGTTGAAAAGATTATCCTTTCTTGATTGAATTACCTTGGCACTTTTGTTCAAAATCAATTGATAAAATCAACAGATGTTGAGTCTCTTTCTGGACTCATATCTGTTTCATTAATCTATATTCCTGTCCTTAATGAGAGTACAACACTGTGTTGATTAACTTTTATAGTTAAGTTTTGAAATCAGGTAAGTCCTCCAACTTTGTTCTTTTAAAAATAGTTTTGGCCATTCTAAGTCCTTTGCCTTTATTGAATTAGCTTTTCTGTGAAAATAAAAGGTTGCTGGGATTTTGATTGGGATTTCATTGAATCTGTAGATGATTTGGGAAGAATTGTCATCTTAACAGTATTGACTTTTTCATTCCCTGAGCATATCTGTCCACTTATTTAGGTTTTCTTTAATTTCTCTCAGCAGTGTTTTGTAGTTCTTAGTGTATAGTTCTTGCACATGTTCTAGTTCATGTTTTTTGATGCTAGTATAAATGGAATTGTTTTTGAATTTCCATTTCTGTTCATTACTAGCATATAGAAATATAATTTATTTTAGTTTTCTGAACTTGTATCTTATTTACTGAAGTCATCTTCTAGTTTTAGTGGCTTTTTATTTTAAGATTGCTTAGGATTTTCCTTGTACATAGTCATGTTGTCTGTGAATAGAGGTACTTTTCGTTTTTCCTTTTTGATTTTTATGCCTATTATTTCTTCTTCTTATTGCCATGGCTAGAACTTTCAGTATATTGTTGAAAAGAAGTGGTGAGAATAGATGTACTTGATTTGTTCTCAACTTTAGGAGTAGGGTCTTATACCATTAAGTATGATGTTAGCTGTAGTTCTTTTTTTGAAGATGCCCTAATTAAGTTGAGGATGTTGCCTTGTAGTTGTAGTTTACTGAAAGTTTTTTTCATGAATTGGTGTTGAATTTTGTCAAATGTTTTCTCTACATCTAAAAAGATGATTGTATGATTTTTTTCTTTTTATTCTGTTAACATGGTGAATTATAGTGATGGGTTTTTGAATGTTAAATTAGACTTACATTCCTGGGTTAAACTGCACTTGGTCATTGTGTAGTATCCTCTTTATATATTGTCAGTTTTTGTTAAGGAATTGTTAAGGAATTTTGCATCTGTGCTTTTGAGATATATTGGTTTTTAATTCTCTTGTAATGTCTTTGCCTAGTTTTGGTGTCTGAGTAATGCTGGCTGCAAAAAACAAGTTGGTAAATGTTTTAATGAATATTATGTTTGATATACCACAGGCTACTATTACATAATTCAACTAATATATAATTAAATACTCTGCTGTTGTGTAGCTTAGTACTCCCTGGCTTGTAAGAAACTCAGTTCAAACTAACTGATTTAAAAATACTTTTTAGCTTAGGGGCTCTGAACTAGAGCTTCAAGTTTGGCTGAATCCAAGTCTGTAGATGTTATTGTCAATAATATGCATGTCTCTTTCTGTTTTCTTTTTTTATTTAGTTTCTGCATGTTGGGAGAGAGTTAGACCCCATCAGCTCCAGGATTATATATTACATAGATCTTGAGATTGCAAAATGAGAGTCCCTCTGTCTGCTGGTGTCTATAACAATATGTATGAAAGGACTTGATTGCCTTTACTTGAGTCACATGTACTCAGTCACTTTGTGTAGGTCAGGGGTTGGCAAACTACAACCTGCTGGCCAAATTCTGACTGCTGCATATTTTTTAAAAATACAGTTTAATTGGAACCCAGTCATGCTCATTGGTTTATGTATTGTCTAGGGCTGCTTTTATTTTTTAAAAATACAGTTTAATTAGAACCCAGTCATGCCCATTTGTTTATGTATTGTTTAGGGCTGCTTTTATGCTGCAATAGCCAAGTTTAGTAGTTGCTATACATACTTATGGACTGCAAAGCCTAAAATATTTACTTTATAGGAAGAGTTTGCTAATCTTTGGTCTAAAGGTTATGGATACTCTAGCTAGGCTGTGTTAATTGGTTGTGGAATCAGAGCCGCTTTTTGACAGCTTTGTCATAATCACAGTGAGGGATGGAGAGCTGTTTCCAAAAGGATTGGCAGTTCCTAAAAGGAAAGAATGCCAAATAGACACCTTTCTCCCCAATAAAAACAGTTTTTTTTAATTACAACTCATTTTTTGTTCTGTTGTGTAGACTTAAGGTAAACATGATTATGTGTGTTTTCACACTGATACAGGTGTTAATAGAATAATATACTAAAGTAGGAGATACAGGAGAATGTGTAAGGATATAGTAATAGAATCTCTAAATTATGTGAAATATAAAGATAACAGTCTGTGAAAAATATAAATTGATGGGTTATAATTTTTCCTTTCTCAGATGATGAAACATGCATGGGATAATTACAGGATATATGGATGGGGACATAATGAACTGAGACCTATTGCAAGGAAAGGACACTCCACTAATATATTTGGTAAGTTTACTTTTTTTTTGAATTTTATTTATTTTTTTATACAGCAGGTTCTCATTAGTTACCCATTTTATGCACATCAGTGTATATATGTCAATCCCAATCTCCCAATTCATCACACCACCACCCCGCCCCCACCACTTTCCCCCCTTGGTGTCCATACGTTTGTTCTCTACATCTGTGTCTCAATTTCTGCCCTGGAAACCGGTTCATCTGTACCATTTTTCTAGGTTCCATATACATGCGTTAGTATACGGTATTTGTTTTTCTCTTTCTGACTTACTTCACTCTGTATGACAGTTTCTAGATCTATCCACGTCTCTACAAATGACCCAATTTCATTCCTTTTGATGCCTGAGTAATATTCCATTCTATATATATACCACATCTTCTTTATCCATTCGTCTGTCGATGGGCATTTAGGTTGCTTCCATGTACTAGCTGTTGTAAATAGTGCTGCAGTGAACATTGGGGTGCACGTGTCTTTCTGAATTATGGTTTTCTCAGGGTATATGCCCAGTAGTAGGATTGCTGGGTCATATGGTAATTCTGTTTTTAGTTTTTTAAGGAACCTCCATACTGTTCTCCACAGTGGCTGTATCAATTTACATTCCCACCAACAGTGCAAGAGGGCTCCACACCCTCTCCAGCATTTGTTGTTTGTAGATTTTCTGATGATGCCCATTCTAACCGGTGTGAGGTGATACCTCGTTGTAGTTTTGATTTGCATTTCTCTAGTAGTTTTGAAATGCATTTTGCATTTGCATTTCTCTAATAATTAGTGATGTTGAGGAGCTTTTCTTGTGCTTCTTGGCCATCTGTATGCCTTCTTTGGAGAAATGTCTATTTAGGTCTTCTGCCCATTTTTGGATTGGGTTGTTTGTCTTTTCAATATTGAGCTGCATGAAATGTTCATATATTTTGGAGATTAATCCTTTGTCCACTGATACGTTTGCAAATATTTTCTCCCATTCTGAGGGTTCTCTTTTCACCTTGTTTGTAGTTTCCTTTGCTGTGCAAAAGCTTTTAAGGTTCATTAGGTCCCATTTGTTTATTTTTGTTTTTATTTCCATTACTCTAGGAGATGGATCAAAAAAGATCTTGCTGTGATTTATGTCAAAGAGTGTTCTTCCTATGTTTTCCTCTAAGAGTTTTATAGTGTCTGGTCTTATATTTAGGTCTCTAATCCATTTTGAGTTTATTTTTGTGTATGGTGTTAGGGAGTGTTGTAATATCATTCTTTTGCATGTAGCTGTCCAGTTCTCCCAGCACCACTTATTGAAAAGGCTGTCTTTTCTCCATTGTATATCCTTGCCTCCTTTGTCATAGATTAGTTGACCATGGGTGCGTGGGTTTATCTCTGAGCTTTCTATCCTGTCCATTGATCTATATTTCTGTTTTTGTGCCAGTACCATATTGCCTTGATTACTGTAGCTTTGTAGTATAGTCTGAAGTCTGGAAGCCTGATTCCTCCAGCTCCATTTTTTTCCCTCAAGACTGCTTTGGCTATTTGGGATCTTTTGTGTCTCCATACAAATTTTAAGATTTTTTGTTCTAGTTCTATAAAAAAAAGCCATTGGTAATTTGATAGGGATTGGATTGAATCTGTAGATTGCTTTGGGTAGTGTAGTCATTTTCACAATGTTGATTCTTCCAATCCAAGAATATGGTATATCTCTGCATTTGTTTGTTTCATCTTTAATTTCTTTCAACAGTGTCTTATAGTTTTGTGCATACAGGTCTTTTGTCTCCCTAGGTAGGTTTATTCCTAGGTATTTTATTCTTTTTGTTGTAATTGTAAATGAGAGTGTTTCCTTAATTTCTCTTTCAGATTTTTCATCATTATTGTATAGGAATGCAAGAGATTTCTGTGCATTAATTTTGTATCCTCCAACTTTTCCAAATTCATTGATTAGCTCTAGTAGTTTTCTGGTGGCATCCTTAGGATTCTCTGCAAACAGTGACAGTTTTACTTCTTCTTTTCCAATTGTATTCCTTTTATTGCTTTTTCTTCTCTGGTTGCTGTGGCTAGGACTTCCAAAACTATGTTGAATAATAGTGGTGAGAGAGGACATCTTTGTCCTATTCCTGATCTTAGAGGAAATGCTTTCAGTTTTTCACCATTGAGAATGATATTTGCTGTGGTTTTGTCATACATGGTCTTTATTATGTTGAGGTAGGTTCCCTCTATGCTGAGTTTCTGGAGAGTTTTTATCATAAATGGGTGTTGAATTTTGTCAAAAGCTTTTTCTGCATCTATTGAGATGATCATATGGTTTTTCCTCTTCAGTTTGTTAATATGGTGTATCACATTGTTTGATTTGCATACATTGAAGAATCCTTGCATTCCTGGGATAAATTTCACTTGATCATGGTGTATGATCCTTTTAATGTGTTGTTGGATTCTGTTTACTAGTGTTTTGTAGAGGATTTTTGCATCTATGTTCATCAGTGATATTGGTCTGTAATTTTCTTTTTTTTTTTTTGGCATCTTTGTCTGATTTTGGTATCAGGGTGATGGTGGCCTCATAGAATGAGTTTGGGAGTGTTCCTCCCTCTGCTATGTTTTGGAAAAGTTTGAGGAGGATGGGTGTTCCCTCATCTATAAATGTTTGATAGAATTCACCTGTGAAGCCACGTGGTCCTGGACTTCTGTTTGTTGGAAGATTTTTAATCACAGTTTCAATTTCATTGCTTGTGATTGGTCTGTTCATATTTTCTATTTCTTCCTGGTTCAGTCTTGGAAGCTTTTACCTTGCTAAGAATTTGTCCATTTCTTCCAGGTTGTCCATTTTATTGGCATAGAGTTGCTTGCAGTAGTCTCTTAGGATGCTTTGTATTTCTGTGGTGTCTGTTGTAACTTCTCCTTTTTCATTTCTAATTTTATTGATTTGAGTCCTCTCCCTCTTTTTCTTAATGAGTCTGGCTAATGGTTTATCAATTTTGTTTATCTTCTCAAAGAAGCAGCTTTTAGTTTTATTGATCTTTGCTCTTGTTTTCTTTGTTTCTGTTTCATTTATTTCTGCTCTGATATTTATGATTTCTTTCCTTCTGCTAACTTTGGGTTTTGTTTGTTCTTCTTTCTCTAGTTCCTTTAGGTGTAAGCTTAGATTGTTTATTTGAGATTTTTCTTGTTTCTTGAGGTAAGCTTGTATAGCTATAAACTTCCCTCTTAGAACTGCTTTTGCTGTATCCCATAGGTTTTGGATCATCGTGTTGTCATTGTCATTTGTCTCTAGGTATTTTTTGATTTCCTCTTTGATTTCTTCAGGCATCTGTTGGTTATTTAGTAACATATTGTTTAGCCTCCATGTGTTTGTGTTTTTTATGTTTTTTCCCTGTAATTGATTTCTAATCTCATAGCATTGTGGTCAGAAAAGGTGCTTGATATGATTTGAATTTTCTTAAATTTACTGAGCCTTGATTTGTGACCCAAGATGTGATCTATCCTGGAGAATGTTCCACGCACACTGGAGAACAAAGTGTAATCTGCTGTTTTTGGATGGAATGTCCTATAAATATCAATTAAATCTATCTGGTCTATTGTGTCAGTTGAAGCTTCTATTTCCTTATTAATTTTCTGTTTGGATGATCTGTCCATTGGTATAAGTGAGGTTTTAAAGTCCCCCACTATTGTGTTACTGTCGATTTCCTCTTTTATAGCTGTTAGCAGTTGCCTTAGGTATTAAGGTGCTCCTATGTTGGGTGCATATATATTTATAATTGTTATATCTTCTTGGATTGATCGTTGATCATTATGTAGTGTCCTTCCTTGTCTCTTGTAACATTCTTTATTTTAAAGTCTATTTTATCTGATACGAGTATTGCTACTCCAGCTTTCTTTTGATTTCCATTTTCATGGAATATCTTTTTCCATCCCTTCACCTTTAGTCTGTATGTGTCCCTAGGTCTGAAGTGGGTTCTTTGTAGACAGTATATATATGGGTCTTGTTTTTGTATCCATTCAGCGAATCTGTGTCTTTTGGCTGGAGCATTTAATCCATTGACGTTTAAGGTAATTATTGATATGTATGTTCCTCTTACCATTTTCTTAATTGTTTTGGGTTTGTTATTGTAGGTCTTTCCTTCTCTTGTGTTTCCTGCCTAGAGAAGTTCCTTTAGCATTTGTTGTAAAGCTGGTTTGGTGGTGCTGAATTCAGTTAGCTTTTGCTTGTCTGTAAAGCTTTTGATTTCTCCATCGACTCTGAATGAGATCCTTGCTGGGTAGAGTCATCTTGGTTGTAGGTTCTTCCCTTTCATCACTTTAAATATGTCCTGCCACTCCCTTCTGGCTTGTAGAGTTTCTGCCGAGAAATCAGCTGTTGACCTTATTGGGGTTCCCTTGTATGTTATTTGTCCTTTTTCCCTTGCTGCTTTCAATAATTTTCCCTTTAATTTTTGTCAGTTTGCTTACTATGTCACGGCATGTTTCTCCTTGGGTTTATCCTATATGGGACTCGCTGTGCTTCCTGGACTTGGGTGGCTATTTCCTTTCCCATGTTAGGGAAGTTTTCGACTATAATCTCTTCAGATATTTTCTTGGGTCCTGTGTCTCTCTCTTCTCCTTCTGGGACCCCTATAATGCAAATGTTGTTGCGTTTAATGTTGTCCCAGAGGTCTTTTAGGCTGTCTTCATTTCTTTTCATTCTTTTTTCTTTATTCTGTTCCTCAGTAGTGAATTCCACCATTCTGTCTTCCAGGTCACTTATCCGTTCTTCTGCCTCAGTTATTCTGCTATTGATTCCTTCTAGTGAATTTTTCATTTCAGTTACTATATTGTTTATCTCTGTTTGTTTGTTCTTTAATTCTTCTATGTCTTTGTTAAACATTTCTTGCATCTTCTTGATCTTTGCCTCCATTCTTTTTCCAAGGTCCTGGATCATCTTCACTATCATTATTCTGAATTCTTTTTCCAGTTCATTTAGTTGTTTTTCTGGGGTTTTATGTTGTTCCTTCATCTGGTGTATAGCCATCTGCCTTTTTATCTTGTCTATCTTTCTATG